AGATAATTTGAACCAGCATGGAGAAGCATCAAGCATAACTAGTAAGGTATGCTCCTTAAATTAAGTTCATACATATAATAAATGCCGGAATGAGCTACCTATGGCCTAGTTTTGTTACTGATTATATACACGTAAGCTAATTTTAATGTTCTCTTATCAAAATTATGTTGTCAGACTGTGAATCTTAATCTCATATGAAATTCACAGTTTAGACTCTAAACATACGCATTTTATTTTATTTTATGGAACATGGGGAAAATAAGCATTTTCAAATGGTGTGATAGCATAAAATTTTCCTGTGTATTCCTATATATTCAGCTCATTAATTAATTTTCCACTACATATATAATGCAGGCAAAGGCACCAGAGTCTGGCAATGGCAGTACACCAGCAGAGACAATCAATTCTTCTTGTTCTTCTTCCTCTTCATCATCATCATCATCTTCTTCTTCTTCTACTACTACTGCTACTACAGCAGAGTTGACGAACGACTCTACTTCTTCTGGTACACTCACACCAGGGACAAGCAGTTCCACTACTACATCCAATGCACTGGTTCCGGTGAATCCAAGGCCTAATGATGTAAGTTCCTCTTTCCTCCCAACTGATAGGTTGATCTGTCCCAACGAGGAATTTTATCTATGGAAATTCGAACTTAAGATCTTAGATATGTTGGAGACTAAATGCTCTTTAATCACTAAAACTACAGGATCAAGCATATGCAAACCTTTTGCCATCCCCATTAGGATCACAATTATTCTCTAATTAATTGTGATTATTTAGTTGTTAACGACTCTCAGTCATTCATATGGATGAGGATTGTGTGGACTCTATTATGTGGAGTAATGTGGGACTCACAAACCTAGTCCAAAAGGACCCCCTGTCCTAGCATTGATAATTTATGCTCATTTTATTATTATTTAGTATTGTTATTGCTAATTATATTACATATGCCTAAAACTTTTGTGATTGCGTATATAGTAAATTGCACCTTTTTTTGGGGGGGGGGGGTGTCTGAGAGTAAATGGCATGTTTGTCCTCTGAACTAAGTCATATTTCATTAGCAGACTTACATATTTAACCAAAATGAAACATGATCACCTGTACATAGTTATTAAAAGGAAAAATATACATGTAACAAATTGAATTTATGAGATTGTTCCGGACTTCATGTTATTTGTTGATCTCGTTATGTTTCTGTTAATTTTCAATAAATTTCTCTCATGGGATTCCTATGAAAAATCCATTGTATTTTGGGATAATCTCTAAGAGAATATTTAATATTATGTTTTCAGACAAGAGCGGGGAGGAAAGCGTTAAAAGCGATGGAGATTCTGCTCGCACTGGGAAATATCTTTCTTACTTCCAGCCAGTGTACCATTATGTGATGAAGACTGATCCAGCAAATACAAACTTGAGTCAAACAGTCAAACTTGTGAATGGGAGAGTGGGGCCAACTATATATATCACGCCGATGGAGTCTTTTTTTTATATTTATTTACTTTTTTCTTTCTATTTTTGGTTTTTAGAAAGTTAAATCAAGGGGAAGATTGTTTGTAAATTAAATCAAATTGAAGTGGTTTCATATTTTATTCGGTGTCAATTTTGTGTTTTTCTTTATTTTTCATCGAGTGCTTGACCCCTTGAAAACCTCCTGCAAAGGTTCTCTTTCCCGGAAGCCTCCTCCACATCGATGGCACACGCAATGTGAGAATGGCAAAGTATTTGATTGTTACATCCACAAACAATTTCGTGAGACTTCTCTAATTCTATGTCCTGATGATCTTCACAAAAAGTAGCTTTTGTATCCTTCTCAACAACTATAATTTAACTTCGCGACCTAATTAGCCCAATAAATAACATATACTTTTTACATGATTATTGTTAAACAAACTTATTATTTGAGGGCATACATTAAAACTTATTGTATCCCTCACATCTTCGTCTCATGAGCCTGAAATATCTTTGATATTTGTTCAACTTACCA